AATTATTTGAGTTTTTGGGCAAGTTTTGTTTAAAAATGTACTTGCAGAGGCTAATGTGTCCCTTGGCTGCACTCTTTCTTTTAAACCCAATGCTATATGGTAAATATTGACAAACCCAATCATTGGTTTCATTCAATTAAGCTTTGGGTTATTTTTCTTTATTAAAGTGAAATTACAATTGTTTTTAACCTGCATTTGGTTTGTCCATATTTGAACCAATATTGTGTGAAACCAACCAGCTTTTTTGTGTCCCTTGACATCTTGACGAATATGGAGGGATTGTGTTAATCCCACCACTTTGAAGATAAAAGGTCAGGAAGATCCTTGAGTATCCTTTAATTTCATGCAAAATGGGAGAATATCCGGGTTTAATGAGATCCCAGCATTCACCATGACTGCCAGCAAGACTTATAGAGTTGCGTCAGACTGTTAATAATGTCCAAACCTGTGAGCTCAGAGCTTAGGTGAGAGCCAAAGTGACTCTGACATTTCATTCCTCAGCAGGCGGGAGCTGATAGTGCTTCCCTCCCCATGAGCACAACCTTGAACTCCTCTGACTTGTGAAGGAGAGGGAAACTATTACAATGAATCAGTTGGAGGCATCCCAATGGAAAAGACCCTGTGGTTTGGGCGGTCTGGTGGATTGAGTCTCAGATTGACCGGTCAGATGACGTCACTCTCAATGAAAGCTCCATTGCCCCTTCAGGCGTCATTCATTATGCTGTGAAGTTTCAATTTCGACCAAGCCAATGCAATTACTGGCCCTCTGTAGGGGCTTTGGCGGTACTCCGAAGGTTCAATTCGCCTAAATGAGAAGCTCAAACAGGGGCTCTCATTCAAAGCACCATTCTACTCGAGTAGTGTTTGTATTTAAGTGCAATAGCAAACACACATAGGTGTGTGCCGCCTCGGGTTGAAAGCCTCGGTTTCATTTTCACCTTGACTGCCGCTGTTTATGAACACCGTAATGACACCTTCAGTTTTTATAGCGCTCACCCAGACTTTAATTTCCCACGCAGCCATTCTGATGTGATTTGAGCTTTTTTATAAAGCACTAATCTCGCACGATAGATCATTGCAGAGCTCTCGTTCCTTAATCCTGCTTTAGTAATATCCCGAGGGGAAATCTTTGAGGATCATTTATGAAGTGGTGAGATAGTGAAAGTCTCTTATAAGGGTAATCAGCCAGCATCTCATCAATCTAGATGGCATCTCTGTGTTGCTGTTATGTAATGTGCAATGCGCTGGGAAGATTTATAAGAGGCGAGTTGGAGACTAAGCAAGACCCTTCATGCCAATTTCAGACCACCTTAAGGTTTAGAACAAAACTAGACCTTTATGACTTCTTGGTCCAAAATAACTTTAATAAACTGAAAGTGAGAAATACTGAATTGATTGGCTGTAAAATGAGACACAATCCATTTACAATTTATTTTTAATTTAGCAGATGCTTATATTCAAATTCGCTTAGACATGAGGGATACAATAAAGCGATTCATTGTAATGGAAAATGAAGATGGGAAGTTTTAGAATTGCTCAGAAAAGTTCTAAAGTATAAGACTCCATGGGACAACAGAAATAGATGAAGAGTTTCTTTATAAAAACTTTTAAAAGTAGGTTAACAGCTGCAAGTCAAATGTTCACAGAGGAGTTTTTAGTCTAGTAAACTTTTTTTAAGAGGGACATGGGATTCTGCTTTATTGTTAGGAAGATCCAAACAGGATACTGTAAAGGCCCAGACACACAAACACACACACACACACATGCAACAAAATTACATTCAGGACAAATGGTGACCAACTGTTGCTTAAAGGCTGGATTAAACTACTGCTTCCAGTTATTGGCGTAACCCACGGCGCATGCCTTGGGTATAGCTGTGCATTTATATTACGTTTCTGCTTGCTGTTTGTGTTGGTCTGCAATAACACTTCCGACATGTACAAGTAGCTTAAACTCACTCATTCAGAGGCAGGAACCGGTAACATAAGGTACACACAAAACAAAAGTTTCCATTTGGAGCTCCTTCACTGGACTCGACACTTGCTCCATCGCGCTTGCAGCTCTCAGCACCGCCAACTCTCATCATAGCTACCAAGCCGACCAATCACAGAGCTTGCTGTACATGTTGCGATGTGTAATTACATTTTTTGAGAGGTGCGCATCAGCGTTGCTGTCAGCCACAGTGAGGGCTATGCGACTGTGTGAAGGCTGCGCCTGACCATACGCGTGCTCTTGACACAGAAGTAAAAAAATTCAACCCTAGTCTTGCTCATTACCAAAGATTTGTTCCAAAGATTAATAGCAAACCGGACTGACTTTTAGTCAGCCCTTTTAAAGTTTTAAAGGCCATGTAGCGCCCTCTTCTTGTTATATTGGAAGAACTCACTTTAAATTGTATTTTAACCCCAAAATGCAGCATATAACATGATAACAATTAATATAAATAATAAACACAACATTTTTATAAAAAAAGGCTTGTTTCAAAATAAAGCTTTTTGTTTTCCTTTTTTTAAAACTCAAACGTTAAAAATCAACAGTTGATTTAGTAAAGCTCAACATTGTCCACATAAAATAAATAGATGAATGAATAAACCCTGTTGCAGGCCTGTGTCGTTGCTTGTGTTCATAGTAGCATAAAACACAACTGCCCCTTTACCAAAAGGGCAAATAAACAACAGTTCGCTCTTACTGGAGTCAGGAAATACGGATACTCCAGAATCGGGATTATAGTCTGTTGAGGAAAACGAAAGCATCGGCCGTGTGATGTCGTATCCAGTGCTGCCAGAGGAGCCACTGAGATGTCCTGGTTTTTCAGTGCGCAATGTGGGATGTAGGGGTTCATTGGCAATATGAAATTACGGTTCTTTGACATGAACTTGTGGATCTCCACCTTAGCAGTTAACGCTTTATTTAGTAAACACAGTGCAACAAATAGTCTGGTGATACTCAAGGAGGAAATTGTTATCCTCACAGGATCGTAGACGTTATAAGCTCTCTTCAGTTCTCTATTCGACAACTAGCCGAGCGAATAATCTCTCTCACACCAACGTTTACTCTAACGACATCCACCCCACAATGGTTTTCCGCTCTCTTTATTTACCTACTGGGATATTTATTTCCGGTCACCTTACAACCACTTCCGTCACAGCACAACAGGTAAAACAACAAGTTAAACTAAATATAAACACATGAATACAGAAACAAAACATTCATCATACGATAAACAAGTAATGAAAGAAATGAAAATATTATAACAAATAAATTAATTGACAGCTGGGCTTCAGTCCATGTAAAATCCAAAATTTACAATGCTTATTTCACTAGAACACATCGTTACTATTTAGATTAACAATTATTCTGTAGCAGTTTGTTTTGATAAACTTCAATCAAAAAAGACTGATTATTTTCTTCAGCATTTGGAGTGCTGGTCCTTCTCTGTTGACGTGAATTTGACTGCTTCTGTCGTAATAATCTTTTTTTAAGTATATCGTTTTATGAATATTATGGCAAATTACAGTAAAAAAAATAATTATATTTTAAAATGTGTTGATAGTACCAACTTAAGTGCATACAATGAAATAAAAAAACACATACCAACAAATAAAAAGGTAAATATTGTGGCTTTACAAAAACTACAACTGTACAATCTGTATCACACAATACACTCTACTTTGAACTTAGGAAAGAAAAATAATTAATTTGCTGAAACAAGGACTTGGTTTATATTTGATAATAAAACATCTTCTTTAATAAATTTCCTAAATGGGTCCCAAATTTTCTTAAACTGGTTAGATGAACCTTTAGAGAGCCTATTTTTTCCAACTTTAGGAAGAAGAGGACATCACAAATCCACTGTGTTGGGGTTGGGGGATCCTTCCACCTAAGCAATATTAGCTGTTTGGCCAGAAGCACAATAAAAGTACATCAACATACTGAAATAAAAATTTCAGCAACCTCTGACCTTTCTGACCAATGGTCTTTGCCACTGATTAAATATGAACACAATTTCTTCCAAAAGGGCCCAGAGCCAGAAACCTTCACATGGATTCCCAGAATTGTAAAGCCACTGGACGGTAGTCCAACTTGTGCCTTAATTATAGATAGGACACTTTACAAAATCTACCTTTACAAATTAATGACTTTAAAGACAAAATCAAGACAGCACGTAAGAGGTCCCAAGAACATAAAATCAAGACCATAACTCTAGTGCAGGGATGCCCAAACTTGGTCCTGGAGGGTCGGTGTTCTGTAGATTTTAGCTCCAACTTTCCTCAACACACCTGCACAGATGTTTCTAGAAAGCCTAATAAGAGCTTAATTAGCTGGCCCAGGTGTGTCTGATTAAGGTTGGAACTAAACTTTACAGGACCCTTAAACTTTACTGGCCCTCTAGGAATAAGATTGGGCACCCGTGCTCTAGAGTCACAAGTTCAATTAAACCCAAACTACTCAATTGAACTTTTTGTGGGGAATTCAAAAGTTTTTTTTGAGAATATCAAAGGGGGTTTTGAATTTCTGAATTAAAACCAGTGGCTCGCTGGCAGGGGAATGCGTTGAAAGACAACATAGCTCTCAAATGCCATTTTTAGCCAACTGTTCACCATTATTCAAATGTGTAGGTGTCCTGAGAGCCAAGCGCGTGCTTCTATTGCTTGAGAATAATCGTCTACTCTGCCAAGAGGCTCTTTCAGAGAGATGCGTCGTGAGGTGGCACCACTCATTCCCAGCCATATCTGATGTGTCAGAGCATGAGAAGCCCACGTGAGGGCTGAAGCTGGCTAAGAAAGCAGACACGTGTGCCTCTTTAAAAGTTCATGCTCAAAGACCCAGTTGGAGAGTCAGAGGTTCTTCAGACTGATCAACCTAAATATAAGGCATAGTTTTGCCACGAGAAACAGATATTTCTTCTTTACCTGATATATCAGCTTTCATCAGGTGGATTAGGGTGCAATATTTGGCTACTGAAACACTGACTTTGTCCTCTTTTCTTTCCCCCACAGCCAGCGAGAACTGCCATGACTTTCATCCCATGTTTTTCACCCACGACCGCTCGTTTGAGGAGTTTTTTTGCATCTGTATCCAGCTGCTCAACAAAACCTGGAAAGAGATGAGAGCCACTTCTGAAGACTTCAATAAGGTAAGAACATGTTCGATTGAGGCTCGACCTCAGTATTAACTGTTCTCAATACCTTTGCTCAGTGGCTTTCTTTTTAATGGATTTTTCTGTCTTATTAGTGGTCAACAAGTATAAGGTTTTGATGCAGAAATGGTGGAGTCAAAAAATCTAGGGACGCACAGTGTTATTTAGAATTGCCCAATAAAGACTTAAAATGTCACCACTGGCAATGGCCTGATATGGAAAATCATACATGCATGGCTTTTTCAACTGAAGAAATAAACTCAAATAGGTCATTTAAAGCATAATTCCAAGGTAGCAATCCAAAACAATGATTCTAAAGTGCCATACATGAGAAAAATCACTAAGAGTGAGCACTGAGCAGACTGCTGACCTGATCTTATTGCCATCTCTTCTGGCAGATTAGTAAGGTACTCCAGGCTCATCATCAACACATTATCTTATTGCTAAAGTATATTGGGATAATTTTCCATATCTGGCTCTGTCTGATTCCTTAAATTTCAAGCCATTCAAGACAGATAATCGAAAGCTGCCACACAGGCTCATTGGGAATACCTGCTCCAGTCTATATTTTTTTTTGTACTTAAGCATACATTAGACTGTAGTTTTTAGGTGAAATGAATGTTACCCCATCAACCTTTGTTTCGTTTCACACTAGTGATACTTATGGAGACATATTATAAATGAAGAAAGGAATGCAGTTCTTTGCACAACAATGTCTATGATTTGATGTCCATATGGAAAACTTTTCTGGTGTGGCCAGTTTGTTTGGTAACTCACTTTGTATGGTGTTGTACTTTTAATGCAAAAGAGATAAAAACAATGTAAAAGCAAGGTAAAACTCCATGGCCGCAGTGCACTTTTCTCCTACATTTGCTTTTGAAAACAGCAAATCAATCAAAAACATCATCAGCATTTTTGATGATGATGATGATGATGATGAAAAGCCTTTATTTGTCACATACACTTTTACATGCAGTGAAATTGGACCCCATGACCAAACACAAACATCACACATTTCAGGGGAAGTCAGGTTAGACGAGAGGTAGCTTTTAGAAAGAGGAAATAAGATACATTAGGGAAGAGGGAGGCAAAAAAAAGCCCCTCTCAGACTGCCATTGAAGTAGGGCAGTGTGAGGTCAGGGGGAAAAGGCCCCACCACAAGCACATAAACACATAGACATAGACATAATATTACAACATGAGATGGAAACAGGCGATGTGGATATAGTCCGATAAAGGCGGCAGCCATCTGGTCCTGCAACCAGGGGGCGCTGGTCACAGACCCGCCTACCTACTATGGTGGCTACAAAGGTGACACGAAGGCATGGGATGAGGGATAGGGCAGTGATTGTCTATCTGTAGCTGTGTATGTGTATGTGTAAGCCTGTAGAGTCTCACAGGTGTCCTTGCAACTGGAAGCAGAAATTCAGAGCGTCTCATCAAGTTGGAAGTTGTTTGTCTTCAGCTGAGGATGTCTAGAAGGAGAGTCACAGGGAAGCTGAAAGAGAAGAAAAGGTTTTCAATTTGAATTCATATCTGATAATTTTACATATATCTAATGTCAGTCAGTGGTCTCCAGGTCGGACTGAATCACGTTGCAAAGCTGCTAGTTTCTCCCTGATGTGTTTCAATTTGCGGCCTAATGCCACAGTCTGAGTACCAACAACCCTGCTTATGTTTCGATCCAGCCGGCCATCTTGGTGGGGTTTTGAGCCACACTGACTGCTTTTACCAATTGTCGATACCCCAGGGCCCCGCCTAAGCCCATCAGCAGAAACCCTGTTATCGAAGTTCCGAATAGATATATATATTTTCAATATCGTCCAGTGACAAAGAGGCCAGGCACACGACCCACCACTTCTCTCACCCATCCATCATATATCTAGCTGCAAACATCCCCACAGGACAGTTGGGTTCCCCCAAACCCAGATATCTTATTGAGAAGATGGTGTCAATTGCGTTCAGAAACCAGTTGATCAAATCCATAATTCCTTTTGTGTTTGGAGAGCATGGCAAGGAGATCCTCAGAAATAGAATAAGACGAGAAAAGAGGAGCCAGCCAGGAGAGATATGGGAGGGAGAGGAAAAAAGTGTGACTGCCTTCACCGAGAGCCAAAGAAGAATTGGCTTGGCTAGGTGATCTGTCTGACAAGCCCCGCCTTCTCGTGGACGTGTACAAAAAGGATATGTATTTGAAACGCATGATGAAACGTACCCTAAGTAATGTATTACAGATTCACAAAAACGTAAACAGTGCCCTCTAGTGGATTTTTCATCTGAAACGTGCAACAAAACTTACCTGGAGAAATGTATTTTACATGGAAAAATATAGGCACATATTTCCAATTAGTCTAAGCTGGAATTTTCAGATAATATTGTGCACCCCTAAAACCTGTTCCATTATATGTGCATTGGCAAGTGTGTCGATAGATACTGAAGCAGTTAATTGGATGCTTCGCTTCAAAATGCTGAACTTGCTGAATTAATTTTAACATTTGCTATAGAATTAAAGTGGTTTCAAACTCTTGGCAGTAGCAAACTTTTCTCCTGGTAAAAGAGGCAGATGAGCTTTGCTAGGCTGTTGTTTGTGTAATTATGATAATCACACAGCAAATCTTGTCGCCATGTTGTAGCATAGGATAAAAGACCGTCTTGCAAAAAGCTGTATATATATATATATATATATATATATATATATATATATATATATATATATATATATATATGAGCTCAATTAAGATTCATAGAGATGAAAACTCCTTTTTTAAGTATCTCCCCGAAGCGCGTCTTTCTGGACACTGTGATTAAATTCATCATCCTTTGTTTTCTTACATGAGCAGCACATCTGAGAAAACTTGCTCGCTTTTGCCCCTCGTCTGTGTTGCTCGTCGTCTCATTATAAATAGAAATGCTGAATATAGAGATAAAACTGCTTTTAATCTGGTGATCAGAACTCACCCAATTCTTTCTTTCTGACAGTTTTCTGGTATTGGGCACAGATGAAAATAGTCTCCATCATAAATGTTACAGGAGGGATGAAACATTGCTGTTGATAGATTGGTCTTTTTAGGTCCTTTTGATGGCGGATAAAAGGTTGAGATGGTGAAATGCACTAATCAAAACTTTAGTCCTGTCAAGCAGTTGTTTCACGTAGAAATAATTGTGGATTAGTATGAGTATATATGAGTTTGTCTTTGGGAAAATGTAAAGCATTGGATGTCCTACTGTAAATAGTCTATTTAGCCACCATTTCTGGCATGCCTTGGATATGAAGACTGCTAATAGTATCACTGGAATGTCTGTTTGTGATTTCTACTACTGTCGTCCAATCCTTTTTCTCTTTAGAAAATAAAAGTATAACACAAAAGTGTTGACATCCATGTGTTTACAAGTCAGCTGTGGACACAGTCATGACTCAAGTGAAGGAGATTAGACCCACCTCTCACACCAACCTTAGGTGTAGAGGCTTAAAATTGTCTCGATTTCATTGTTTAAATGTGACCTTTTAGCAGATTTAACTTTGGCATTGTTTTAAAAATGTGAGTATTAAAATATATTAAGTGTATTCGAAACAGTTGTTAATAAAATGTTGGATTTGTATCCATACATAATCAATAAATAACTCTTTAAGCCTTTAACACCATAAAACAGTGTTTCTCAACCATGTTCCTGGAGGACCACCTGCACTGCATGTTTTGGGTGTTTCCTTTGTCTGTCACACCCATTACAGGTCTTTCAGTCTCTGCTAATGAGCTGATGATCTGAATCAGGTGTGTTTGGTTAAGAAGACATGGGCTGTGTCCGAAACCGCATACTTCCATGCTATATACAGTAGTATGCTAAAATCAGTATGTGAGCCGAGTAGTATGTCCGAATTTATAGAATTCGAAAAACAGTATGCGAGAAGTACCCGGATGACTTACTACTTCCCTCGAGATTCTGAAGTGCGCATCCCATGCATGCTGCGCTATCCCATGATGCCCTGTGAGCGTATTCATAAATGGGAGTAAAGCGACGCAAATTACGCAGGTACGTCAAGTGACTATGTCAAAATGGCAGATGTAGTACGTCCGAATTCCATTCATACTTTTCACATTTATACTGTATAGAACGTACTTTTCTAACGGCCGAGTAGTATGTTTAAATTCAAATGCAGTACCTACTGCGTAGTAGCCGGTTTCGGACGCAGCCATGGGCTCTACGAAATTGCCTACTTCTCAGTAGATACTGGATTTGAATTTAAATGTACTATTTGACAGCTAGAAAAGTATGTTCTATACAGTATTTATATGAGTAGTAGGAATGGAACTCAGATGTACTACATCCGCCATTTTGTCATGATCATTTGACCTACAGTACCTGTGTCAGTTGCGTTGTTTTACTCCCATTTATGAATTCTCTTGCCGTGCATTATAGGATAACGTAGCATCTATCGGATGCGCTCTTCTCGCCGGAAGTAGTAGGTACATCCAGGTACACCTTGCATACTGTTTTTCAAATCTAATGAATTCTGACATACTACTTGAATCGCATACTGATTTATGTATACTATATAGTATGGAAGTATGCAATTTTGGATGTAGCCATGAAAAATGTGCAGAGCTGGTGGTCCTCCAGGAACGTATGTTGAGAAACACTGCTATAGAACACTCACTGCTAATAAAGTATAAACTTTGCAATGCATTGTAGCTCCAGTTTCTATAATAACGTTTGCAGCATGTTTTCTCAGAGGAGGCACATAAAGCCTCCCCATGAAAAGTGTATGAATAAATAATCAGCAGTAAAATATGAAAGAAAATACATTTCTGTAAGGTTCAAAGGAAGGTAGCATCTTTCTTTTTTGCCTCCCTTGAGCTTATTGCTCTCTCGCTGAGCTCTTAAAGCATGGTTTGAAGCCAGTTTTATATATTTACACTAAAATAAGACCTTTGTAGAATAAAAAAAATACTCAAACACATACTTAATCGTTTATTTATTTCTTCCATAGCTGTATACAC